ATCTGTATCTTATAGCTAGATTTTTAGATACTTCAGCGAAACCGTTCTTCCTTTCGTGTAAATAAATGAAATTTCGAGTTGCGAGAAGAGGGAAAATTCGCTGATTCTGAAAATCGGGAAAACTTCACGCGGCTCTTATATCTGAGTTATAACATTTTAGTAAACAGGATTGAAACAAGATTTACATAGCATGTTTCAAATATTCCAAGAAATCTATTTGTTGGATTTCTCTCGGGTCTTGCAGTGACCTTTCGGCGAATTTTTGATCTGTGTGCCGGCGGATTTTCAAATCCGAAAAGAGGATCTCAAATCCCGTACGGCCGCACAACGTGGCGACGTCAGCGACGGCGGTGGTGGCGGTGGTGGCTCGCTCTAATTTTCTATTTCCGGCTTGTACTACTCTCGGCGCGACCGCGGCTTAATTAGAAGCACGAAAAGTGGAAAGCAGTCTAGAGGGAAAGAAACAGGGGTAGAAAAGGGAGAAATGGGAATTCCTTACGCGCGCGAGCTTCGCTCTCTTCCCGAGATAAAAGATACTAACTTCCGAGCTTTATCGCGGCGCGCCTAGCCTGGACTTGCTCTCGAGGATAAATACGCCTTGGCTTCGTTATCGATCCCCCACGACGACGCACTGGTTGATAACGCGGAAGACGAACTTCGTTTTCTGTGGATTCTTACGAGTGTCGTTTCCGTCGTCGCGACTCTTCTTGCAAGACAAGTACTGAGCGTATTGCGCGACCGAAAGAAACGTGGCTGCTACATTGACGTCAGTTGAATTTAATTATAAGAGGATATTATATACGTGTATAACTGAATTAAATGTAATTAATGAATTCGCAAATCGCGATTCTTTTATTACATATATCGTATAAATGATTTGTATAAATCGATTGTCATTTGATGATTTTAACTGATCGCGGTTAAAGTTGATATATAAAACACGAAGCTATACAATTCGAAATTTTTTAGGGATCACTCATGATTTTAGAAATCGTTATTCTGTATTTTAACTTCGTACCTTAAGAGTCAATCTAATCAGTAAATGTGACTGACTTGATACCTGAGACACTACCTTGTCTCCTGAACATAAAACATTTCGATAAAGAGAAACTTCAAAAACACGTTTCTTTATAGCCTATGTATTTTATGACCCTCGAATTTCGAATCGAATTGTATGCCAAATGATATGCTCAACTTAAATTTTTGCTAAAATTAATGTTCCATTCTACAGCATCGTTTCCTCGATTCGAAATTCGGGGATCACAAAATGGGCTAAATTTGAGTTTATTCTTTCCTTTTCTTATGCTTGTATTAATTATTTAATTTTATTTTATAATTTCTGTCGTAAAATAGGGCAAATTAATAAATCACTAGTCTTTTTACTTCATCTCGAAAACGTTAATATGCTTATTTAAAATAAAATTCATTCAAAATATATTCATTCAAAATATTCTAAAATATATAATAGCTTCTTTTATCTATTTTACAAGTCCTATTTTTTATTGATCTTTTTTAATTTTGGATAAAAACATAATCATATTACAACAAGAATAATCATGAAGAATCAAACGAGCAAACACAGGAGGAAAATTGATAACATTTTATGTTATCAATTTTTGTGTAAATTAAGAAAATTTGTTTTGTGTAAATTAATAACATTTCGAATTTAGTCATCTTTATTGTATATGTTTATTATATTTATTAACTGTTAAGTCTTTTGTTAATTACACTGAGAAAAATATCCAGATTAAACCAACAAAGGGGTCCAACAATGACATTTTGGCAAGACCAAAGACCAGAATTTCATGTTATGACAATCAGAAATTCTGTTTGGTTTCAACAAAGTGTCGTTCTTGTTGGGCTCTTTGGCCCGTTTAATCAGACCATTTTTTTCAGTATAGTGACGCACGAATATATCATCCTCATACAGGATTATGCCGCGAGGGGAATTGTTACAGACATAATTGTTACAAATATAATTTATATTTTCAGTCAAAAGTAGAAATTCTATAACAAAATCTGGCTACGAACGTTTCATTGGCCCGTTTTTGTCAATTTTAGTACCTAAGCTAGAATTAGTAAGATAATATCAGTTAAAACGAGATAGCATACATAAAAGGAAACTATATATATATAGTGTTCCAAACTTCACGTGATACTCGTTAATAGCAGATTCCTGAGACCATTTCGAGACGAAAATACTAATACCAAAACGTCGAAGCTACAGTACTTTTCAAATAAGAAAGTTAGCCAATTAAAGTCAATTACCAATTAACTATTCGAAATTCGCGCGCTCAAGCATGTACAATGTAAAGATGATTAGAAGAAAGAATAGAATAAAATTGATACTTGAAAACATCTTCACTATTGTGCAATGTGCCATGCCTGAGCACGCCAATTTTTAACAGTTCAATTAACTAACTAAACTCTCGATATTTTGGTATTAGGATCTGTCTCGAAATTTCAAGAATCTACTATTAACGGATGTCACGCAAAGTCTGAGACACCCAGTGTCTTACCCTTCTTCTTATTCTTGGTTTGATAAAAGTGCTCGTGGTCAGACTCTGTTATATCCTACAAGACAATATTCCTTATAGAATATTAAAATTCCTTATATGAATATTAAAAGGATAAATAAAAAATATTCATAAAACGTCATTTTAGGAATATTATGTGCTTATAGGTCTCTAATAAAAAATATAACTTATTCGGTCTTTCGTAGACGACAGTCGATTATTCCGTGCCGATATCACCAGCGTAGATCTAATTCGAGAATGATAACGCCAGGAGTTCAAAGACCTGCCTCCTTGCCTCGCGAGTCGATCGGGGACGATGAATAGCTTCATTAGTATAACATAATTATAATTAACCGGATTGCCCACCGCGATTGGTCGAACCCGCTTAAACGGATAATGCAAATTATGTCCAAATCTCACGATAATCATTCACGGGGTAACACACGGTATACCGAGATCGCGTGAAAATCCACGTGAATAATCAATCGGCGAGTACGACTATTTTCGAAACGCTCGTACGTTCTAGTTTCGTTTTATAACTGAAAAGGGGATTCGGGGCGACCGATTGCAAGTAAAATGCTGTGTATGTATGAGAGAGAAAGAAAAGAAAAAAAGGGCGTATATGTGGCACGAAAGTGTACTATGAACTCCAGATTTAATGTTGCACGATAGATCTCTATTTAACTTGGGAGAACTTAAAGGCCAAAGCTCGGGAGTGATCGAAGCATTTAGAGACCTGAATATCTGCAAAATCGAAGATGGAAAAGGGATACGAAACGGATGTAAGATTTTAAACATGCAAGAATTCGAGGGGATTCAAGTTTAAGAAACGAGAGGATTCTACTCTATATAACATTTAAGGATGTCCTAAAGAAAATTCAACGATTCAGAAATATTATAAGTTTAAATAAAGCGAAAGAGGATTAGAGAGAGTAAGCCGAGTAAGTTCTTAGTGCTAACAGATATTATATATAATTGAAAATCACAAAGTTAACAAACGTTTCGATCTTTACTGCAGTCATCTTCAGTGTTATAACAAAAGAAATTAAACCTGTAATTATATATAATAAGCAATATCTAACCCTCTTTCATTTTATTAGATTTTCAGTCTTATGAGTCTATAAAGTCTCTTTGTAATTATAATTTTAATTGTAATTTTAATAGGGATAAAAGAATTTTTACATTTTTCTCTCACGACGAATTCTAATAAAATTTTGTAAATTAAATAAATCAAATAAGTAAAGAAACACTAAATACGGTCGAGACTAGATCTTGATTTAGTAATAGGACTAATAATATTTTTTATGTGAATGTTTAAATTCATTTCCCAGTTCTTCAAACTGCATATCAAACACAGCCGATCTTGAAAATGCAGTCCTAAATTAAAGCTATGAATAATAATATCATAAATTAAATCGTCAATTTAATTTGTTAATTAAAATTTAATGATAAAATTTAAGATATTTAAGTAATCCAAAGATACTAGAATTTAAATTTTCATATTAAATGTATACGATGATATATTTTCCTCCTTGTTAAGTCAAAGTTTCTTCAAAGTGTATCAAAATCCAATCAAATTAAAAACCAGGCAAAGTTAAAGGCTGGATAAAAGTTCCATTTGCATTCTCGAAGTTTGATCCTTGAAGGTGGCTCTTCATTATTAAACGGAAAGCGGCGAGTTCCGCGTTGCTCGATAAATTGAGGAGAGACCGGCCGCGCTAAGAGCTCCACGCGGCGGCTGCAGGTTCAAAGAGAATACGCGAACAGGACACTCGGTATGTATCCCGTGAGTCTCTCGAGAGATCTGGAATCCAAACGTATGGCCAATCGCGCCAGCCTTCGGAATTACTATTAGGTACTCCTCGACGCGAATCTTATGTATATATTACGAATATGCGTAAGATATACTACGTATATCTTGCGTATATTAGTAGTACATACATGGTGCATCTTACGTATATTGGTATATCCTAAGTCCGATCTACATAGCACGCAGAATGAAGGTCGCAAGTCGCAAGACTGGAAATTAACCTAACGTTTATTTCAATTATAATAGGTTGCAGGACGCAGGAAGTTGTGGGTGAACTTCAACTTTCGCGTCCTGCGACCTATTATAATCTAAAATACGTTTCATTTGCGATCTGCATCCCTTGTTCTGCGTGCTGCGTATGATCTGACTTTATTTTGATTTATTTATTATGAGTATAAAAGGTGAGTGGCGCCAGCAAGACTGCTATTCTGAGTCTACCTGAGAATATATGCTAGTACAAAAAATTATTGTTATAAGCATGATGATAATATAACAACTACATGGTGGACTTTGATAGGAAAAAGAATAAGCGCATGTTAGAATACTCTATCATGTACTATAATCAATTTATGTATATTAACAGTATATACGCGGAAGATTCGTTGCGATGTACGTATATACTACTAATATACGTGGGATGTACTCTCGAGCTAACTCTGTCTCTCCCAAGTTACCTTTTCTACGACTCGCTACTCCGCTCGCGACGTATCCCGTCACATTCCACGTATCAGCCGTGACACCCGTTACTGCCGCAGGTAACGCGATCCGCCTCGTGACTGCCGTCGTTGTTGTCGAGTGATCCTGCAAGCCTGCCGGTACCATCCACGCCTTTGTCCACAGCCGGAGCGCGTTATCACGTATAGGACGGGGACGGGTGAGTCGAGACGATTTGATCGAAGAAAGGAACGCGTGAATTTTTCAAATTCTTTCGGGAAAATCTTCTGATCCTCTCGGTCTAACGAAGCGACCAGCACGAGGTCCTGTCAAGCCACGCGCTTCCTCAGGACCTCGATGCGCACATGGAGGCGCGCCGGCTGTACCGTTTCGAGTCCTTTTCCCCGGTTAACGGACGATCCTACGAACGTATTGAAATTCCACCGAATCAGAGAGACCGGGCGAAGTCGACGGCACCTTGACTCGTCGTCGAGATTAATGCGTATCTCCTGTCCTTTTTTCGCAGAGACGGAACGACGGGCGGAGGACCGTCGGGATCGCGCAGGATGCGACAGGATGCACCGCCGCGCCGAGGCATGCACCGCAACTAGCCGCCCGCTTCGCCGGTAGGATCTCCCTTCAGGGCGCCGAACATCTCTCGCGGGAAGCTGCGGCACGCAGAACGTCTTCCTCTTCTGCCTCCTTCGTTTAGCGTCCTTGCGACGGGAACATATTGCGATCTTCCTCCAAGTGTCCTTCGCTCGCGTTTAATATCTCTTCTTAACGTATCTCTGCGAGATCCCGGAGTGAAATGGACCTCCGTTAAAGGGACGGTAGACCTCAAAGAGCGATGCACCTTCGTGGACGACGAGACCGAGAGACGTTTCGAGGCGAGTCGAGGAACGTCAGGAAGTGTCACGAGGATCAACAGAAATCGGCCTTCTACTTGCTGGTCCTGTTCGCCGAGGAACGCGGTCAGCACGCCTTTCTCGCGGTGCTCCGCTCTCGCGAGTAGTTCTCTCTCTTTCTCTCTCTCTCTCTCTTTCTCTCTTACTCTTTCTCCCTCGGTGCCTCTCTCTCTTTCTCTCCTTTCTCTCCGGAAGTCACGACCTCTACGCCAGCGGGTGAGAGAAAGAGAGGGAGAGATATCGCTGAGGAGAGAAAACGACGTGTGTGACTCCGTAAAACGTCGTTACTCCAAAACGACGTAGTGAAGGACGATGCTGCAGCGGCGGCGGCGGCGTCGTCGTCGTTCACGCCCCCGTTTCCTTCCCGTCCGTTCCCCTTTCTTTCGACGACGCGCGACACCGACCACGGGGACGCCGTTCTCACGGGGGAGAGGAGGCGTCGGCGGCGACCTTCCACCACTCGCGGAACAACAATGGTCCACCCGCGTTTATCGGGAACGTGGAGACGTGGCTCCGTCGGTGTCGCGGAACGAGGCTGGACAGCCGCTCTAGAGGCACAGAGGACGGCGACGGAGGGGAGGTGGGGGGAGGGGAGAGAGAGAGGGGGGAGAGAGAGGGCGGAGAGCAGGAGCGAGAGAGCGTTAGAGCCGTTTTCTTTCGGAGCGAAAAAGGGAATCCCGAACTGTACTCGCGCGACAAGGAACCCACGAAAATGACGCACGTGCGGCTCAACCCGGCCACCGGCTGCCGAAACACGAAAATACGCGCGTTGTCCTTCTTCCTTTTTACCCTTTTCACGAAACGACACGTCCCCCGAAGAGAGCGAGCGGCGACGGCGGCGGTCTCGCGGCTCTCGCCTCCTTCCTCGCCAACGCCTACACGATACACATTGCACGCAGCAGCAACGACGCCCCTACACGCCGAGCGTCAGTGGTGCTCAGCGAACGGCGCCGGCGCCGAGACGCTGAGAGCCCCGTTCCCACCGACGCCGGGATGAGTTTTCTTCATGTAATTGAGGATGCTTCTTTTTGCGCGCGTTCGGAATTTTTTTTAGAGTTTATTATAATTTGTATTCGACGCTTTAATCGTTCGCGACGACGCTTCGTTTTTTGAAGTCTGGAAAATTAAATCCGAAGCGAAGTTTAGGGATATTTTAGATGCGGGTTTGCGAGATTGGTCAGCATCAAGCACCTAGATTTTCTAGTAAATGTGGCGCTACTGTGTCTAGTTAATTTTTAGAGACATATATACATCCCTAGATAGAGAATATACTAGACGTGCTAGTTATATTTTGTCTTGGTTAGTTTTATTCCCTAGCTAGTTATGAACTTTAGGGCTCAACAGAAAGACCTCTGTCGGAAACGAATTTTTTTTTATACTGAAATTATACTGAGAAACTCGCAATATAATTGTGATATTCGTAATCAAAGTCGTCCGTAAGTCTTTCTAGAACAATTTGGAAAAAAAAATCGTTCTGATATCTACACTATAGTGCAGTTGAGGTGTAGATAATTTTATTTACTACACGTTTTAAAAATTAATTGCAAAATCTGTGTACTCTGTACGAACTTTCGTTGCTTTATAAAACATAAGGCAGAAGAAGTCTCACGACAAAATATTTCTAAGATACAAAATTTGATAAAATATGTATTTGCACCACAAATAAGGTGTAGATAAGTTGATCCATCACTGCCAATCCTTAAAAGGTTACAGTTATTTTCCTTAGAATTTCCAATTGTAAAATATTAAAAAAAATTTTGTTAGCACATTTTAACAATCTTAACTATTCTTTACATTGATGTAAAGATTATAAAAGGCCAATAAATCATAAAATAACGTGAACAATTCTATGAAAATATATAAAATCTTTATAGTATTTACATAACGTAAACCTACGAATATAAATATATAACATAAAGGAAAATTAATTTTTCTTATCATTTACAAGCCATCAAGATAGTAGAAAACACATTTAACAGTTGTATATATTCATCGCTTCCTTCTGTTAATCTGTAATCACATTCCTAAAAAGAAAAATTTTTTTTATTTACACTGCGGTTTATGTGTATGAATGGCTCAACTTCTATCCAGAATTTTTAAATTTTCCAATAGATGACGGACTGCCGAATTTCTCATAACAGTAGAGTTCCTTCTATACTATAGTTATAGAATAACGGCGAACATGGAAGAAGTTAAATGTGCAAGCTTAAGCAGAGCTATGTCATCAAGTTTTCGATTAAAGAAGTGATTAATCCTTCAGAAATTTTATGGCGTTTGCAAGCTCAATTCGTTGGCAATACGCTTTTCAAATCTCAAATTGTATAAGTGATGTATAAAAGTCAGGAATATCTAAGAGGAGATCAGCAATCTTCGCTGAACAGTTCTAACGCCAGTCAAAGAATTTATTCTGTAAGTATAGTATTACAGCCAAAATGATGGGAGAAATATCAGCATATGAAGACAGAAAAAAGAAACCTAAATTGAAACTAAATAACACGTACAGTTCTGCCATTATTGAAATTCCGGACAGAAGTTGAATCACCCTTGTATTATTCTTTTTATATATGTATACACATTTGTATAAAAAGTCACTTACGCCGAGCACGTGGCCAATCGTCTCCTTTTGTTTGTCAGTTAATTCATCCGAGAAAATAATTCTCTCGTTTAATTGTTCAATTACCTAAAATGTAACATAAATAAAATTAAACAAAATTGACTTAATCAATATGCATAAAATTTATTACTTTTCTACTATCATTATATATATTTAACAATTTTTTTATATCTAAAATTACGAAAAAATAATTAAGACAGTACCTTTGCTCCTGGATATCCTTCCATTAGAAAATTTTCAAGTAACTTTTGGACATTATTGTAATTCCCCTTTTTACAAGCCTCCCACAATATATTAATTTGTTCATCGGGAATTAGCTAAGGTAATAAATACACAATTCAAAACTACTCAATCTTGTCATATAAAAAATTTCTGTTTTTTACAGGAATATATATTTACCCCGATAACGTCGAGCGCATCGTCTGCGGTAATCTCATAATCTTTTCCCTTCAATCGCGTGATCGATTGTAAACACATGACAGCCTGTCTTAAATCACCACCTGATGCTTCAACGATTTTTTCTAAAACGCTTTTATCAGCCTTTAGATTTTCCTCATTGCAAATGTACTCGAGCCTGGAAATGCTCTTCTCATCGCTCAGCGGCTTAAATCGAAATTTCGTACAGCGCGACGCTATCGGTTTGATTATTCGCGACAAGTAATTGCACACCAAACAAAAGCGCGTACTGTGTGACTCTTTCTCCATAATTCGACGAAGGGCTGTTTGTGCAGCATCAGTCATACTGTCTGCCTCGTCTAATATGATAATCTTGAATGGCGGACATTTTTTCCCACTGTAAATATAAAAAAATTAATGTTATTCTTGTATTTTATTATTCTATTTTTATAAATTTTAATTAAATATGAATTATATTATGCCTCAGCTTCGCACTTTTGATCATAAACTGCAGTACAGCGCGCAAGATGTTCAAAAGAGATGATCAACTCTCAAATATTCGCGTCAGATTAATTTGATATTCGTCAATAATAAAATAATTTCGTCAATAATAAAAAATATTAAAAATTTACAATGTAATTAAACAAAGGTCACATCAAAACGGATGTTGGTGCTTAATGATATTTTTTGTGTAACAATCTTACAATTTCTAGTTTAAGTAAACGCGTCGATTAATCACTAATTATTTTTTCCGCGACTTACAGGAATATTTGAAAATTGAAGTTGTTTGCTCAAATGTCTCAGAAGTTCACTAATCTTACAGTTCTTTCTGCAATTATGAGCATTTTTTTTGTTTTGTTGCTAATAAGAGATACTAAAACACTTCATTAATTCTCCTTGATAACAACAAAGTGCCTTTTTCTGAACAATCTTTTGCACTGAAATTCTGTAGTCATCAGACCTTTTACTGGTTCATCATTGGCATTAATCATTTAAGCAAATAATTTTTTATGTTATTACTTAATAAAGTACACAATTCATTACTGTGACAGTTTTTACACAAATGGATTTACAAAAAACCACAGTGGCTTTAGATTAAGAAAAGTTTGCTTAAACTTACCCTGGTCCGTTAGGATTAGCTCTGC